ACACTCCTCCATGGCCTCCTCATCAGCTCCTGCCTCCAGGTTCCTGCCTTGACTGAGTTCCTGTCCTGACTTCCTTCAGAGATAAACAGCAATGCAGAAGTATAAGCCAAATAAACCCTTTCCTCAACTTGCTTTTCGGTCATTATGTGTTTATCACAACAACAGAAACTCTAAGACAAATGACTAATACTCAAGCATAGTGGTGAGTGCTCATAATCCTTGAGAACATGCACGCACGCACACGCGCGCACACACACACACACACACGCACAAACACACAGATATCTCTCCTAGGGTTTCCAGATGGGAGACTATTCCTGATGATTTTAGTCCAGTGAAAATGGTGATGGATTCCTAATACACAGAACTATAAAATAATACATTTGTCTTTTTAAGAACCACCATTCAAGCCAATAATTAAGAGGCAAAGGCTATGTAGTTCTTGCTGGCCTCATGCTTGTAGAAGTCTTCCTGCCTCAGTTTCTTGATCCACAGGCATACTCAGCTTTCTGTGGTTATTACGGAAGCCAAGGAAAAGTTACATAGGCAGCACATACGCACACTCACAGTCTATAACCCCAGAAGACCAACTCAGCATGCTTTCTTCTTAGCCTGTTGTGAGTTTACCCTTTCAAGGATCCCAAGGTTAATTCTCCTCAAGCTCACTAGAGCTAACACATTAAGAAGGAAGTAGAGAGCTTGCCCAGTGATACACTTCTAATGTCACAACCTAGGTAGGGCAGGACTCTTTCCAGAAGAGTTGGCCTGCAGCCCAAGCCACCTTCTGTGGAGGCTGGATTGCACAAAAGCAGCCTGTGCCTGTCAGGCTAGAAGTTAAGGAAACACCAGAACCCCCTGTTTGTCAGGGAACAGGCTCAACACCGAGACTATTGTGGGGGGAAAAACAATAGCAAAAACCCAGGCAATAAGCTGTGAAATCCAGGCAGAATGAACCATAGTGTTTACACAGGAATTAGCACACACAAGGGGCTTTTACAGTCTCTCCCACAGTCATGGAAGTATGTTTTACACACACATACACACACACACACACACACACACACACACACACACACACACGTTTGTTATATGGCAACTATCCTACCCTTTAGGCTTCACTTAGCATCAATCAAGTGAAGTTTCTTTGCCTTCTGTGCACGATGTCACCCTTTCTCACTTGGGAACACAAGCAGGGCTCAGATGAAGTCAAGTGAACGTGAGTAAAAGTTTGTGACCTCAAAGGAGGGAAATGCCCTTACTGAATAGAAGAGCACTTGCATACGGTAAAGTATGATATAGGCAGACATTTCCCATGACCCATCTGACCTGTAAACTCCAGATGACCCACCATCAATGACTTGATTTTAGTTATATTTTCCTCACACATTCATGCCAGCTTTACAAAAATGTTATCTTACTGTTCTACTGATTGTTTTAATTCTCAAATGCTTAAGACAAACTTTTGCATAGATTGTATGGATCTGGCTTGCTTATTGAAATGTCTAGACATTTAATCTCAAGGTTTGCACAGTAATTTAGGTTAGTGATCATTTAGTCAAAGTCTGGGTGGGTTTCTGTTTGGCGTTTGCCTTCTCAGGCCATCAACTGCCACCCCTTTTCTCTGTGCTTACATGTTTAGCTCTTGAGAGCTTCCTAGAACTGGAATTTCTGGGTAAAGTGGCTGTACTTTAAATACAGAAGCAGTTTCCTCTGGCAATGACACCTCCCACCTTCAGTGGGAGTCACTAATCTTTTAGAGGAGTTCTAGGAAGATTCAAAAACTACATTTTAATTTTGTACTTTTAACTAACTATATTGAATGCCCTAGTATTTCCCTTTAAATGACTAATTCCATAACATAATACAATATTGTAAATAAACCCTGCCTGGTGTAATTGAGAAGTAAAAAGTATCCCAGCCACACAGTGTTTCTCAAATATTTCAAAACTACATTCATTTTAACTTCTTTCCATGTTTGCAGACTCCACGAGAGAGAAGTACTGGGTATTAGATTTTGTCTGCCCTGCATTCACATCTAGAAAAGGCACAAAGTACACAAGGCGCTGGGTACAGCCTGCCAGCGGAGCTCACGCAATGGCTTGCACATTACAGCGAGACCCAGCCCCCACATGGAGCAAACCAACACAGTTGTTACATGTCTGCTAGCTGAACCCTAACACCAACCAAGTTGGAAGATGTTGTTGATTTCTAATTTGTGGGCCGACTGCTTCTAGTATTTGCATTTTATCACTTTATTATAGCTGTAATTGTATGAAATGTGGGTAGGCTGACAAATATACTGTTGAGGGAGAATTTCTATGCGCCATTACATCATTATTCACACTTAAGAGGTCATCACGCTAATGTACAGCGTAGTCGTATCTAAAGGCGTTACAGAACTTCATACCCAGAGGCTTGAGCATCGCCCACTTTATCACCCCAGTGTTTGCCTAGTTGCCATAAAACTGTGCAAGGTGCCAGTGAATCTTGTAACTCTGTTATATCATAAATGGGACTGTATATTCAGAATTTATATACATATGAATAGGAAATAAAGTTAGTTCATTTATAATAGGATATAAAAGGCATAAAATACTAAGATTATCCTTTAAACTTGTGTAAAAGTGTGATCAACTCTCATTGGGCTTGTCTGATTTGAAGGGAGGGCACAGGCCTGAATGACCTTAGTCATTATTTTGTAGCTTTAGCAGACAAAGTCCATCAACTGAAACTCCGACTATAAAAAGCATATCCAAGCCAGGCTTGGCAAGCTTATTATTCCAGCACTCAGACGCCAAGGTAGGATTAATTGCTATTCCAGTCCAGTCTGAGCTGGGCTACGTAGAGATCATGTTTCTGAGTTGTATGTGTGAGTGTTTAGTATACCCTCTCACAAATGTAGATGGGTCTGGATAAAGACACCCTAGGCTTTTGGACTTGGAGATTACAAACCCATAACAGTTGGGCATCTCTGTGTCCTGTGTGGCCTACTCTCTTCTCTAATAATGCTGTGGTTCAGAGTTTTCACCAGGTCTTCTCTGAAAACTGACCTGGTACCAGTTGGCATGATGAGGGTGTGGGTGCAGAGTGCAGGGCTGGCACTCTCCTGAAGCCAGCAGTAATAAGCCGCATGCATAGCACAGTCACGGGGCTCGAGAGCAAGCTGGAGGGTGGCTCAGTAAAGAGATACACTAGAAAAGGGAGGATGTGAAAAGGATGGAGAAGACACGAGCCAAAAGAACCCAACCTTCAAACAGTTGTAGGCGGACATCTTTTTCCTTTTTAATGTGCATCGGTGTTCTGCCTGCATGTATGTCTCATATACTGAAGTGTCATATGTTGGAGTTATAGACAGTTGTGAGCTGCCAGGGGGTGCTGGGAATTGAACCCAGGTCCTCTGGATGAGCAGTCAGTGCTCTTAACTGCTGCGCCATCCAGCACGGCCCCCATACATTTTTGTTGTTGTTGTAGGACAAAAAACAGAATGGCAGCATGGACAGGTGGCTGCTGGTGGCTGGTGTACTAGGTCACAGCCACAAAATCCACTTAGAGACATTTCTGAGGGTGAAGGTAGGAAGTATGATAAACCAGCCCAAAAACTTTAGTTGTTGTTTAAGGAGGGAATGATGGTCTGTGAATTTTCTTTCTGACAAAGGAAAGTAGATGACCCCAAAGTGCCAAGGTGACGTTCTTAAGCAAGGGCTCTCTGTTTTGGTGTTGTTGCTGTGAGACACGGTCTCTCTATGATTAGTGCGAAGACAGAGGGAAAGATACAAAGGGTTTACAACTTAGGAACGTTCACATGAGAGATAAACTGCTTCCATGGATTTAAGCCAGATTCTCCCCCACCCTGCCCCAACAACATAGGGTTTCTCTTCGTAGCTTTGGCTGTCCTGGAACTGCTTTGGAGACTAGGCTGTCCTTGTACTTGGAGATCCACCTGCCTGTCCCTTTTGGGTACTGGAATTAAAGGCCTGAACCAGCACCATCTGGCTAAGCCAGCTGTTTAAAAGTAAATCTAATTAAAATTTTTCTTTGTGTAATATTTACTATCACACCAACCGAATTTACAGTTGCCTTTGAAAGATAATAGGTTAGAAGATCTATAACCTATAATAAGGTCTATAACAGGCAGTATAAAGCAACAGAATTGCAACCTATGTAATTTAACAATAAGAAAAATACTCTCCAAAAATCGTGAACCTTCCCAACAGTGCACAGAACTTTTATGTAATATTATATCCTGGTCTGTGTATGACATTATATTCCAAGCCAGCAACTTTTTCCTCCGAGAATAAGACACACAACTGCTAGCATTACAAACCATAAGTTAAACAACAACAACAAAATCCTAAGAGAACAGGAATCATATATGCCAAAAAGAAGGATAGGAGCCCCTGGGACAAGATCAATATCAAACTGTAAATGTAAAATTTACAATAATACACTTCCTTTTCTAGTAAAGGTTTATCATTTTAGTAGTCTAATCTGAAAAAACAAAAATTAAAATTTCCAATAACTACTTTGAAAAATCTTTTAGTTCTTGGTACAGAGAGGATTTAAATAAATAATTTTATACAACTTTTTAGACTAGTGGTCTAAGTTTAGTGATGATCCAGATATTGTCTTGTTAATGCTCTTTGTTAAATATTTTTTAAAATGAAAATACTATCACTAAATGCATTACTTTGTATGCCAACTTAAAATTAATAAAAATGTGATTATGAAAAAAATATTTTTTAAACATCCAGTTACGTTTTCCAAATTAGTGAAAAAGATGAGATTCTTGGGCAGAGACACTAACCATAAATTTCAGTGAGTGTAACTATAAATAACATGTAATGATAATTACATCCTACATTCATCTCTAAAATCATAACTTAGATTTAATGCTATTATTTTGGAAAGATTTTGCTAATAATTACTGTCCACAAAACATTTTAAAATAATTTCTTCAGTCAGGGTTAACATATATGAAATAATTGTTCACTCTCAACATATATCTTATCATGTCCTTATTTATTTTGTTTTCTTCACAGTTTCAGTGTCTCAAGAAAATGTGAATCCAAATATAATATGAACTTCTTATACTCATCCAGAATTTTGAGTTTTTCAATCAGAAGATGGGCTTGTTTTGAAGACAGACTTCTAGAAAATTCGTAAGATTTTAATGTGACAAAAATAGTAATTAGATAAACAGTAATAAATCAGATAAACAGAAACAGGTCTCTCTGCGTAGCCCTGGCTGTCCTGGAACTTGCTCTGTAGACCAGGCTGGCCTTGAACTTGCAGATCTGCAAGATAAAGCAGCAACAATATAACACAGCACATGAAATAAGGGCAGCTCCAGCACTGCAGTAGGTGCCCATGTTAGAGGGGGTGCCTCCTGAGCAAGAGGGCACAAGGGTTATAAAACTACATAAACTCCTGGCTGTGTTCTAGAATTTCACTTGAATACTGGCTATCTTCCATTACTGCCATCTGAGCCATATACAGGGTCATCTCAGACATGAATTTGCATGCCATGTTTTGAAGACATCATTTGTCTGGTCCCTGTTAAGGACATAAGGAATGAACACAGGTGTGGTAAGGATAATGTGCTTAATACATAAAGCCAGAAGGGCAAAGGAGGCGTTTTCCCAAATGGCCATATCCACAGGCCATGCCGAATTCCATCTCGGATATGGTGTGAGGTCCAGGAAATAAATAACATCCACGGAAGAAAGCACCACGAGTCCCTGAGCTTGAATATGTGCACAGCAAGCTTCACACTCACAACTGTGACGGGAATCACAGTGGAACAGTGAAGGAAAGGTCTTCTCGGAAGAGTCAGAGCAGCCTGAGGGGAGAAGAAGGATCATTTCCTGCTTTGCAAATCTCACAACTGCTTCTTACTATTTTAATGTACCCAGGGTTAGCCGGAAACGCAAAACAAAACACCCCACCACTGCAGATGCACCAGACACACAACTGCCAAGTCAACGTTTTCTCTTTTCATTCTCTACGGCAGTCTACAGTAAAAATGAAAACGTAAAAAAATATTTAAGATGATAAAAGTATGACCAGCATATTCTTTACATTAACAATAAAATAAAGGTCTTAGGAATATGGTATTAATTTTACAAGTTTCCCAGATTTTGCCCTAAAAATCACAAACATAAATATATATCCTAAGCATGAGATTTGTGTAACTGAGGTTTAAATAGTATTTAAAATAAAAAACATTTTTATTTATTTATGTGTGTGTACCTTTACTTGCTGAACCATCTTACCACCCCTATTTTTTTCTGAGTTTTTTTATGTGTGTCTGTGTGTGGGTGTGTATAAGTATGCAGTTGACTTTGGGCCTGTAACTGAAGTAACAGGCCATTGTGAGCTGCCACATGGATGCTTTGACTCTACTTCTTTTCTGAAATGTTTGCAAATCACATGCATAGAAAAGGCAGGAAAATCTTTTGATGTTTAGAAAATATAATATAGAAACTATTAACTAAGGTGGCATTTTAAGTTTGGTTTCAATTTGCAAGGCTTGTCATCCCAAAACACATGAATGCCTCAACCTGATTTTCAATTTCTCTACCAGAGACTACTGTGGCCAGTCTGTTGAGATGCATATTTTTGGCCTCAAATGAGACTGGAGGAGTTAAGCCACTTAAGTCACCCCCAGGAATGAGAATAATCATAAACTATTCAATTACTGGCACACATGATTGTGTGATGCACACTGACGGGAAGACAGAGAGTAAGAGGACAAATGTAAGTGTGGTCATGGAGAAAGAGTGCTGACCCAGGAAGGGTCAGGAATGAACCTGATCATCTGCACCAGTGTGCTCCATGAGCCAGCACTGAACTTCTCAGTACAGTTAGTAGTTCTTACTTTATATCTATATGGGACTTTGTGACAGCAAATCTGACTAGCAACGTATCTATATGCATCTTTAGAGAAGTATTAGACACTAAAGAGAGTTGAATAAATTAACTTCCCTATTTTAAAGTAAGATATTCTCTCTAGAATATGATGTCTAAAAATATCAGCATTTCAGTACTAAAGACATTAAAGCCAGAAAAGTCTTACCAATATCTTACCTTTAAAGATAGAGATCTAGCTTGAAAAAAATGGTCACCATCAATAACAGAGGCTAGAAATCCAGCTAAAAGAACTTCTCCAAAGTCAGTCTTCTTCGTAATTCCAGTGACTGCTGCCCATGACCACATGCCAATGACGCCATGGACTAGGTTATCGGAGAGGGCACGAAGCCAGTCATGTTGCTGAATTATGGAAAACTGGAGAAGTCTGTCAGCTACGAGACAAAAGATGCCCAGACCAAGGCTAGTAATGAGAGAGTCTGTGCTACAGTGTAATAAAGCATGAGTCTTTTCAAGTTTTGATGCCATAATAAACTGTCAGTATACAGTGGGTGCCACAGGGAAGCAACATGCCATTCTTGTTTTCATCCCAGTACACTACAATAGAAATCAAAGACAAATATTAGTGAAGATTACAGACCACCATGTAATCTTTAAACAAACAACATCAGCAGTAATTATAAAACCAAGCTGGAAACAATATCATCCCTTAAAATATGCTGTATGGTCAAATATATGTCAGTTTTGCAGGAAAAAACTTGTATGTGATACCAAGGAGAATTTCAGAAAGCCTATTGAATTTTTTTTTTTTTTTTTTTTTTTTTTTTGAGACAGGGGTTTCTCTGTGTAGCCTTGGCTGTCCTGGACTCATTTTGTAGACCAGGCTGGCCTAGAACTCACAGAGATCCGCCTGCCTTTGCCTCTCTGAGTGCTGGAATTACAGGCATGCACCACTATTGAAATTATTTATTCCTGCTAGGCATTTAAATAATTCCGTCAGAATTATTTATATGATGTAACAGTGGGCTTCCATTGTACCCGTACACTCAGCAGCTGCTTCCATACTTTTGAAAAGCAAATGTCTCCTTTCAGGTCTGGAGAGATGGCTCAGTGGCTAACCGTACCTTTGCTGCTCTTTCAGAGGGCTGGAAGCACTTAACAACAGGCCACTCACAACTGCCTGTGACCCTGCTCAGGGGTCTATACTATCTTCTGACCTTTAGGGACAACTGCATGCATATACATATACTTGGCAGATACATATACAAATAAAATACATACATAGGTCTTAAAAAATGTTTCTTCCCTTTGAGAAAACTGTCCTTAATACCTAAACTCCAGTGCTGTTCAATCAGAGTTCCCTACCTCCCCAGCAGTAGTGTCTACTGTCATGATACAGAGTCATCCAAGCTAAACCTACCAACCTCCTTTTCCTAAGTAAACCTGATTCTGAATGGTCCTTTTCCTTGGAGCCACTCCAAGACACAGAAGAGCTGGAGACAAGAAAGACCTAGAGAAGCCTTCACCCCAGCATTTGCAGGCAGGAACAGATGGATCCCCTTGAGTTTTGGACTAAGCTGGTCTGCATAGGGAGACCTTGTCTTTAAAAAATATCCCAAAGAGATACAAAGACAAAAAGCTAATAATGAAGACATCAAATCCTTGGCTCCAGTGTCCAAGGTTTTCAAAGATGTCCTTACTCCAACATCTCTGCAACAAACACAGCTTTATTTATCTCCTGGAATAACAACAAACCCCGAAAGTTTAGCTTATAAGAAACAGCAAGCATAATTTTGTGCTGAATTCTAACCTGCCACTGCCTACTGAGATAATTTGTGCACCTGTCAAACGTTCAGTGCTGTGTCACATCTGATTTTTAAAATATTTATTGTGTGCATGCGTGTTTGCTTGCAGAGGTCAGAGGAGGGCATGGGATCTCAGGACTGCAGTCACAGACCTGTGAGCCGCCACGCAGGAGCTTACAACTGAGCCTGAGTCCCCAAGCGCAGCCCGTGCTCTTAACCAGCCACTTGTACGGGCAAACAGACTACAGTTCTTCACACTGTTTTCTAGTTCTCTGTATGTCTGACATTTTCACTTAGAAATGTTTTAAGAGGAGGCTGGAGAGATGGCTCAGAGGTTAAGAGCACTGTCTGCTCTTCCAGAGGCCCTGAGTTCAATTCCCAGCACCCACATGGTGGCTACAACCATCTATAATGGGATCTGGTGCCCTCTTCTGATGTGAAGGCACACATGCAGATATTATACACATAATAAGTAAATAAAATAAAAAAAGAAACATTCTTAAGAAAGAATCTAGTAAAATTCCAGAAAATGCAACCTAATTTGTAGTGAGGAAGAGGAGATTAGTGGCACTTGGATGGGGTTGCAGGGAGGGTTGGAAAGCAAAGAAAGCTCTGGGACATTCCTACATTCAGTTACCCCCGGGACAGTTTCATACATACACATACATACAATACGAAAACATGTTGAATTTTATATTTTAAGTATTGAGATTTAATTATATGCCAATTACATCCCACCAAAGATGTAAGTTAAAATTAGTAAAATATGCTCTATTGATATTAAAAATACCAGCTTTTGGTGGGAAAGCAGCAATTTGAAAAATGAATTTATAGAGAAGAAAAAAAATGTTCAGCCAATTCAAGGCAATATAAGCAATGCGTAGCAGAATGGGTGCTTCCAAAGACAAGGCTGGGCATGGTGGAGAATGTCTTTAATCCCAGCACTCAGGGGGCAGAGGCAGGTGGATGTCTGTGAGTCTGAGGTCTACAAAGAGAGTCCAGGGCTATTACACAGGGAAATCCTGTCTCAAAAAACAAAAATCAACAAACAAAGGCTAGTAAACAGGAGTTTGTCACTCAAAAAGAAAAATCCTTCCATCTTTTATTTTTTTAAGCTATTGGCAATACTGAGTGTGGTGGTACATGCCTATAATCCTAGCACTTGGGAAGCAGAGGCAGAGACAAATCGATCTTTGGGGGTTCAAGGCCAGCCTGATCTATCTAACAAGTTTCAGGCTACTTCCAGAGACCCCGATTTCAAGAATAAGAAATGGCATCTCATCCACTTTTAAGAGCGTGTATATGTGAGGTAATATTACAGAGCTCCAAGAGAAAACAATCAAAACTCTAAGATTCTAAACACAGGTAAGTTACGGCACCTTACCGGGAATACTGAATTTTAAGAGCTTTGCCATAGATAAATACATATTGTGACAAAAAGAAACATCTCAGCTGGGTGTTAGTGTGCATGCCTTTAGACAGCACTCAGAAGACGGAGACAGGTGGATCTCTGAGTTAGAGGCCAGCCTGGTCTACATAATTTGAGGCTAGCTAGGGCTACATAGTGAGACTCTGTCTTTTAAAAAGGGAGAGAAAAAAAAAGAAACATCTATTATACTATCCTTACTATGAAAATACCAGACTGGCAACACAGCTACTGAGCTGGGTAAAGGCATTAGATATATAAGCCTGGAGACCCAAATTCCACTCCCATTAACCATGTAAAAATGGAAAAGATGTTCTTGTTATGCTACAAATAATATGTATGTTACAAAAAGGTTTGAACCCAGGGCCTTAGGAAAGTAGGCAACACTCTATTACCAACTTACGTACCAATTCTCAGTTTAAAGCTAAATTTTCATAGAGATGTTATTTGGAATGACTTCTCTACATAAGACCCAATTCATCTAATTTTTTCGGTGACTTCGAGAAGCCACTTTTTTATAATGGTCTGTTTGTCTCATCTTGTCCTCAATATAGCAAATGTCATCAACTATGGGGCCTTCCCAGCAAGCCAAACGGTCCTCTCCTTTCCCTTAATTTCCCACTTTAATAATACAACATGAGAAATTTTTTGATACCAATCAAACATTTCTGTTAAAAAAAAAAAAAAAAAAAAAAAGACATTCCAGGTAGGCACCCGGTGGCACACACCTGTAATCCCAGCACACTCAGGGAGTTCACAGTCAGCCTGGTCTACAAAGAGATTCCAGGACAGCCAGGGCTACACAGAGAAATCCTGTCTCAAAAAAAAAAAAAAAAAAAAAAAAAAAAAAGACATTCACAAACTAAATCTCATTGTTCTGTTAGTTCCATCTCCCAAACCTGGGAGTTGCGGGGTGGAGAGTACAAAATCAAAACTGCCTTTATTAGGATAAATAAATCAGTTCTCATCACCAAACTATAGTTGCTGTAAAAGTTCTTAAGTGCTAAAATACCAAAAGCAGACGCCAAATCTGATGCTGGTAATTCACAAAGGGAATAAATACAAACCTCGTTCATTCCATCATAACTCTAGGCCATCCGATCTCTCCGCACGTAAATATTTAGTACCTGTGACTATTACAAGTAAAATATACAATTATGCGGTTCAACACGTTTCTAAACTCAGCAAATTCCTAAAATCATGCTTTTCTGAGAGTCGTGTGCTCTAGTAAGCTTTAGATTCTAAACTTTAGACTTTCTCAGCAAATCTAAAATTTAGAATGTCAAACGGGACGGGAAGCCTTAGCACTCGGATTAGCTAACTCGGGGCGCTGAGTGCTCTCCTACACAGGTGGGGGAGGCAGTGGGCTGGGAAGGGCGCGGGGCCCAGGAGAGCCCCGAGTGTGCGACTCGGAGGGCGGCTCCGGGTCGGTCGGCAGCCCTGGCCGCGCCCAGGCCCGGCTGCCCCGGAGCGCGCGCTCTCTCCCCTTGCCGTGCCCCCCCCTCGGGCCGCGGGTCGCCGGTTCTCCGCGCGCGGCGCCGTCGGGGGAGGGCCAACAGCGCTCCGCCCCTCGGCGGCACCATAGAGACGCGGGCGCCGGCCGGCCAGAGTGGCCGAGTCCGCCGGGTTCCCGCGGGCGCCGGCCTGAGGGGTCCTGGGCGCTCACCGGTTGAGCTGATTGGGGCCGAGTTCTGCACGCGCCCGGAACCGGACGGAAGATTGGAAAACGTCCGGTCGGCCTCTTGGCTTGGCGGGCATCGAATCACTTACCTCTGCCCACGAGGCCGTCAAATGGCGGCGGGCAGCCGGATCGGAGAGGCCGCCTCAGCCGGTGCGGGACGCACCTGTGGGATCGGAGCCACGACCGCGCAGAAGTTCCTAACTTACTTCAGTAGATGCCTTAGCGCAGGTGATGCAGGAGCGGGCGACTTCTCAACCTGACACACCACAGTACTCTACCGCCCCCTTGGGGATTTCTCCGCTAGACACTGGCAGAGGCGGCGGGTGGGGTTGCGGGAGGCTGGTCTCAAGTGTCCTAAGACAGCAGAGGCCTGACAAGAACAATCACCATCACTAACCTTGTGGAAACAAAATAGTAATACAACTGGAATCAGATCTCCCGTCTGTGACTATATATGTCTTACTGCCTTGCTGAGGCAGATGCTATCTTAGCACAAGGACACATTTGACAAGAAACAGCCCAAAGAAAATGTCCAAACGAGGCCAGTGGAATTCATGACAGTTGGAATCTTCAGTTTCAAGCAAACTTCTAGGTCACCTCACATGCCCTGAAAAATCCTCAACCTGAACCTTCATTTGTACGGCTTTAGGACTAGGGATACTTTAATATTTAAGTTAAGAACTTTATGGCCCCTATGGCAATAGGCTGGCATATGTGCCATACAGTCTTAGGCTTTCTGGAAACCTACTGGCTAAAGGCAGCGATTCATTCATAAAACACTGAATACTTTCGCTGTGCTAGGCTGCATAATAGCTTTGGATTAAGCTCCTCTACCGGAGGGTAACTGACCACAAGGAAATATGCTGGGCAGTGATAAATGGTGTTAAGGAAATAAACAGGGTGATATAATCGAGTTAGGATACTGTGTAAAGTATCCTACACTGTGTAAAGATTGTCTCTGTATTATTCAAATGCTGATTTCTGTGGATGCAGATATGATTCAGGCAGGATTTTGGCATTGTCATTTTAATGAAGCATCTCCTTCCTCAAAGTTGTGCAAACGTTGTTCTCCGTAACCTTCTGATTGGTTAATAAAGAGCTGAAGAGCCTGTATGGGCAGGAGAGATAAGGTGGGACTCGCCCAGAGAGAAAGACAGAGGGTGTCGGGGAGACTAAGATGACAGGTAGTGAGCCACGTGGCCGGGAAGTAGGCCAGGCCAGGATAGTAGGGATAGAATAGCTCAGTATCTGCCCAGCTGTAGTGCCTCTATCTTTTAATAAAAATAATAGTCTCCATGTCATTATTGGAGCTAGGGCAGGTAGAGAACAAAACCACACCTTTACAGGAGAAGCTAACTTTAGTGAGGTAGCTGAGAGGACCATACACAGGAACTTTTGCTGAGACCAGAAATGTGAAGGAGCCCAGAGAAGAGCTATAAAAGGATGGTATCTGTCCATTCAACTAACTGATATTATTCCCTGATCCACTACACTCCTTTATTCTTGTTTCCTGTTTCCTGCCTTTTATTGAAGAGAGTAAGAGCTAGACTGCCTGGGAGGGACAAATAGGGAAAAGTGGCCATGGCTAACTCATAAAGGCAGCAAATTTCCAACATGGCCAGCTTCCTCAAACTCTTGACTTAAGACAAAAGCCTGGCAGTTTTTGTCTCCCACCAACAGGCCCCCTACTGATGGATTGGCTCAAGTTCATGGCCAGATCTGATCAAACCAGTTATGGACCAATCAACCATCCTGTCTGTCTTCAAACAGACAGACCTTCAAATAGAAAAGGAAGTCTTTTCAGGGCTTTAAAGCCCCTGGCCCCTGGCTTTCCCAATTCTGGAATTCCCCCTTTGAAGTGTAGAGAAATTTTAATTCAGAACATGGCTGTTCTGGCAAGAGATCACATTCAAAGATCTAGGTCTGTGTGTTCCAGCTGGAACACAAACACGCCTTTAATCCAGGAGAAAGAGGCACACAGAGCTGAGTTCAAGGCCAGCCTGGTATAGAGCAAGTTTCAGGTAAAGAAAAGTTTAGATGGAGGTATGGTGGTACATGCCTTCAATCCCAGCATTCAGGAAGCATGCAGATCTCTGAGTTCAAAGCCAGTGTGGTCTATAGAGTAAGTTCAAGGAGATAAAGAGTTTAAGAAATGGAATATAAGGAATGGTGAACTCACCTAGCTAAGCTTTCATCTTACAGAAAGGAAAGAAAAGCCTAGGTCCAGGCATAGTAGTACATGCCCTTACCTTAACCCTAAACAGTAAAGGTAAAGACAGTGGAAGGCAGCACCCATGTTTGATAGTGGTGTCTAAAAGAATGGCAGAAACAATGACAAATCAGAGAAAGACTTGACGGAATAGGACATGCCCAACTCTCAGGAGAAGAGAGGGGAAAGGGGAGAAATGTAAGGGGCAATGAGAGAGGAGGAGGCAGGTGTACCAGGACAGTAATAGAGAGGCCGGTTTCAGAGAGAGAGAACTCAGGTGAAGACGGAATGAGAATGAGCCAGAAGAGTAGAGCAGATTGTTTGAGGCCAAACAGGGGCTGAGGGAAGAGCCAGATTGAATTAATCAACTGGAAAAGGAGTTTGAACCAGAACAGCTGAGTTGAACCAGCCAGGTATGAGCTCAGTAAGAACTAGTAAGGGCGAGCTTATTAAGCAGTAAGTCTCAGAGGCTGAAAACATTCTAGGCCTAGGTTAGATTGTACAGAGGTTAGAAGCTTCCAGGACTAGGCCTAGGTTAGCAGACAGAGCAGACAACTGGAACAGGTGAATGAAATTACCTTTTATGTTGCAGGGGTCTTTTTCTCTGAGGATCTGTTCGTGTGCGTTCCCTCACCCCCAATAAATGCTTTTCTTTAACTGCTGACTCTGCTGCCCTGTGTGATTCTGACTTCCTTCCTTTTAACAGAGAACAAAAACATTATCCTGACCCCTACCCTGTATCACTAGGTTACAACAGTATTGCTTAGATCATTTTTTTTTAAAAATAGTTTTGCTTTTCATAGTTTGGACAGAAGTGGAAGTGATCCCTGTTGAGGATAATTTAAATAATGATGATTAGGCATACAACAGATCTTATATGAAAGAGGTTTATTAGATGGAGATGGAGAGAGAGAGAGAAGGGGAGAGCAGGACATGATGGGGAGAAAGACGGGGGCGGGGGCACCCTGACAGAGAAAGGGGAGAGCAAGAGTGGAGCAACAGAGAGACCAGGTGTCAGGCTGTCCCTTTAAGGGGTAACGTATCCACACCTTCCAGGTATGGCCACCTGGCGGGCAACACAATGAAATCCTAAGTTGCTAGGCAACCCAGGAGCAGGTTTAGTTCCAAAATCCTAACATTCCTCTCTTTTTCTATATTTAAAAAATGAGGAAGGAACTTGGGCTGCTTTTCATGTAAGGTAAGTTAAAGTATATAAATTTAGGTTCATTGGAAGCAGCTCTTGGTTGCCATGTAAGGGGTAAGAGAGAAAGCAACAAAATGGCCAGATTACATGGTCGAGAGGAGGAGGGGAAGCCTCTGCCCTGGAAAATTTAGGGTAGAGGGTTGTCAGTAAAAAATTGCCAGCAATGCAAGGCAGTAGATAGGGACTGAGGAATGCTGGGAGAACCTGGAGCTGCTTGTTCTAGGCCTGAAGCACACCATTCTAGCCTTTTGCTAATAAGTGAATAATGGGCATAGATTCTCTTCTGGCTACTTCCTGCTGACACTAGGGGCACTGTAGGGAGGTCAAAATGCTGAAATGCTGGCCAAGTCCAGGAAGAACAGGCTGTTTTGATGCTGTCCAGGGTCTGGGAGAACATCCATGGCTGGGAGAGAAAGTGCAGGTCCAGCTTGATGGAAGTCTGCAAGGTCAGACTGGAACACTGTGGTAGCTGCTTTGGCGCTGTTGTGGATATAGGAAACTGTGTCTGGCAGGATACTGAAACATATATAGGCAGAAGATAAAGTTAAGTAGGTTATGGAGAAAATTTTTTAGGTGTACATTGAAAACTTTTGATAGAGCGAACAGAGGTGGAAGGTTTGGATCAAGGAGACTTGAACTTGGGAACCTCTGTTTACCTGAGGGAACCTTCATTTACCCAATCACTGGCAGCAATTAAAAAGGCTTTGCTCTGGATCTGTAATTGAGGCAAGGTTTGGTTACAGAAGTGTGTAAACTTAGGCCCTCGTGCTTTAGCAGGCACTAGGTGTAGAAACCTGAAGACATTCCCGAGGATAATCTGGAGGAACGGACGAATGGACTATTCCCGTTGGAACGGTAGGAGTCAGTGACCTGTCAAGGCATCCCAAGAGCAAGGTTTGACCCAGTAGAGATAATCTTACCTGATCCAATAGCTCCTCAGCTTTTGGCTAGAGACCAAGGGCACAGCTGCCCGAGAATGCACAATCTACCTAGTACTAGGATTTTCGTGCGAGCATGAGGGGAAGAGACTGCATGAGCGTGAGGGTTAGAGCTCTCTCCCAGGGAAAAGAGGAAGTCCTAAATGTAGATACGAAGAAAGGGTCAACCATAGCCAGTGAAGACTATGGCTGAGGGGAGGTCCCTCCGTCCCAAAAGATAGTAGGAAGCTGCTGGACGCTGCACAGTCAAGCTTCCCCTACCAAGAGAGGCGGTTTCTGCTGATAAATTAGGTGAACTCACCAATCCAGTGGCTGGCCAATGAGAACTCACCAATCCAGCCAGTGTTGCACGCAGCAGATAGCCATCTGATAGCCAGGAAAGGGAAGTCCCAAAACCAGGGAAAGGGGAGAAATCCCACCTTCTGAGATAGGCAGTAAGTGCAGTATTTATCTGGAGCCCAGTTGACCTGAGAGGTGGATTTAGGTGAATTTCCTGCAGCTTACAAGAATTACTTTTAAGTTTTACGAAGGGGTTACAACTTCAGACATGCTAGCATCATAATTGTAATCCGTACTGAAATATACATTGTAGAAAAGGCAGTAAACACATACATTGTGTTAACAGCACAAGCGTTCTTTAGGGTGAGCTCTGAAAAGGCAGAAGCCTTTCGTGAAGTAGAAGGGACAAAAGCTCACTTGACCTTAACCTGTAGTATAAGCACACATTATGGAGATCTAAAATCTTGAGCTTGGAACCATGACAGTGGGTGGCACAGTGGGATGTTTTGTATTAGAGTTAATTAACACATCAGAGCTCTGTTGATGAGGGTCAACGCTCTGGACAGCAGCACAGCAACAGGAGGAACTATTAAGCAATTCTAGCTATTTCGGATACCTTAAATCACCTTAGACCTTATAACCTTTATAACTTGCATTTACCAAACTTAAAACATTTTCTTAGACCCTCAAACATTTATAACTTGCATTTATCAACCTTAAGGTGCTTTTTGACTCTCAAACATGTATAACTGGTGTTTATCAACCTTAAGGCATTTTCTTAGACTCTCAAACAATATATATATATATATATATATATTTTTTTTTTGAGGGGGACCTTTGTATCTAGTTATTTATCATGAGACACAGGTGAGACTGCTATGAATATTTATTGTCCTTTAGCTAAGTAAGGGGATGGTAAAAGTTTCCACTCAGGCCTGTTTCTTGAGTCTGGCAATAAGGCATATTGTGTCTAGGCCTGACAATAGCAGCTCCAGGACTTAGGTTTAAGGCCTGGTCTCCTGCATATGGAGAGAACTGAGAAGGCATCTGAAGTCTCCCAAGACAGAAGTTGGCAACATGTTCGTGAGACCCCATTGTGAGGCCAAAACAGACCTGTAATATTACCCTGGGCTGGGCAAGGCTGGTGGAGGTCACTGAATCAAGGAGCCATTTGTCCTCCGCCAGGCAAAGGAGCTAGAAGGCTGGAAGTGTCTGTGGCTCTTGTTGAAGGTTCAGCCTCCATGGCTGGACACAGAGGACAAACCTGCATGGGAGCATTTTGACTTTTAGAGGCCAGCCTGCCGGCAGGCAGCTACAACTTGTTGAGGCAGCAGCGGGACCAGTGTTCCCTTTGTCACCTGGTGGAACTGACGTCTGACTATACCACGGCGGGAAGGGGCACTGTAGACCTCTTGTTTTTTGTGCGGGAGTGCCAACAGCCTCAGAGCAGCAGCCAAGGTCTGGAACATAGCTTTTGCTATGGATGAGCTTGTTGGGAAGGCTCCTTTTTATTATTTTTACCAACTCCTATATGGTGACTCAATGACCATCCTCAGCTGTTTATTAGGATTGCAGTGAGACCATGTTTGCATCTGTAGGACTATAAATATATATTTGGACATCTATGAGATGATTATTAATTTGCATTCGTTAACCATTAAATATTAGGACTTTAGGTTTTGTCCCTGTTAAGTTGGAGCCTTAAGTCATATATAGTCCATTAAAGTAAGAGCACAACAGTTTTTTTTTTTTTTTGTAGGATTTAGTATAAAAAGTTTATAGCTTATAAAAGTCTAAGGCTTTACTATAGATTAATAATAATACAATTTTTTAGAAAATAAGGCCAAGCATATTTTAACCTTTTGATAGTAGAGATACAGCACAATGACCAAGTTTTAACATAAATAAATTCTCTAAAATTAATAGATCTTAATTTAGAATATTGGTAAAAACCTGTACATAGTACCCAATCCCTGAGTTACGAGTTTTAAAACCAACAATATAGCAGAATAGTATAAAGCAATTTTGAAATTACATTTGAATTTATTATAGCAAACCTATTAGCCAGAAAGCCTAGTGGTGAATCCCAACCATAGGCAGCACACAGCAGGAGAAACAGCAACAGCATTTATTCATTTAGGAATTGAAAGACATAGGAATTTAGATGTACATTTTAAATTAATTTAATTTGAATAGATATTTATAACTGAAATTTTATTATTATATAAAATTTATTTTGAAGCAGGGTTGAATTATAGATAGTAAAACATAACTTTGAATTTTTAAAAAACTCCATACCAATTTAAAATGAGGCTCGTTGTTGTCATAGTCTTAAAGGAGATAAAAACAGTTAGTTATGCTTAAGGAAGTCTTGTAAACCCAATGAGAAAATTATATAAATCATTAGTTAAGAATTTAAAAATACATATATATTTAAGAGTGTACAGAAATCAGGAAGAAAAGATTTTTTTAAAGCTTGAAAATAACACCTTAGAGCAGTCTATAGAATGAAAGTGGCTTGGAGGGCTGCAGGAGTGGGGGAGGGGCGAGTGCATGGCCAGGCGGAGCAGAATCGCTGTGAAGCCACATGGAGTCATATTGAAGCTGTGGCTCAACCCACTTCCTCCCAAAACCAACATGGTGGCGAGCGAACTCTCGCTTATGCGAGCCTGAGGCAGTGGTAGAAATCTGTGTATGGAGTCCCCAGAGATTTACCTAAAGCAGCGAGCGGCAGGCAGTGGGACAGATGTGTGGTGCACATTAAGACAGTTGAGGAAAAGTAAATATTTTTAGGCATGGATAGAGCAGAGAGGATCTGTTGTACCCATTCATTGTCCCCTAAAAGTCCAAGAAGGGTTTCTGGCTAAGCCAGGACATCCTCCCGGGTTTTGGCACCATTTATTGAGGATAATTTAAATAATGACAATTAGGCATAGAACAGATCTTATATGAAAGAGGTTTATTAGATGAAGATGGAGAGAGAGAAGGGAGTGCAGGACATGGTGGGGAGAAGGGGGGGTGCCCCGACAGAGAAAGGGGAGAGCAAGAGGGGGCAAGAGAAGCAAGAGAGAGAGACCATGTGTTGGGTTGTCCCTTTAAGGGGCAAAGTAACCAAGCCTTCCAGGTGTGGCCACTTGGCGGGTGACACAATGACATTTTAAGTTGCTAGGCAACCCAGGAGCAGGGTTAGTTCCAAAATCCTTACAATCCCTGGTTTTAAGAGGAGCCAGGGGTAGGCTCAAAACCCCTGGATGTTTTTTTTTTTTTAAACTATCATCTTTAATTTTTGTGAGATAATGTACCATTTCTCCCTTCTCTTTCCTTCCTCCAAGCCCTCTCATAGTCACCCCTTTGCTCTCAAAGCCCAGGAAGCCTCGACCCTACATAAAGAACTACAGGCAATAAAGAAATGCTAAGAACTGGAAAAATAAAGCTTTCTTGGGGAAGAGCACACCAATTGTTTATCCGAAACCACAGCCAGCCCTCCAAACACTACACAGACTGAACAGCTTGTACTTATTTAGGAATATGTATGTACAGACATACACATTTATGTATGCAACAATTAATTAGTGGGTTGCTGCCCTTTACAGCTGAATGCTCCTCACCACTGCTGTAACAGCAAGAAGGTACAGGGTCACTAGCTTCACTCTGAATTATTCTCTTGCAGGTTTGGCAGCTCTCCCCTAACTGATTCTTACTTTCTCGGTCCACTTGGATGTACACTGAGCCAAACAGAGCCCGTCTGAACCTAGAGAAGCTCCCCAACATCTGCATTTTGTTGGCCAGTGCTCCACTCTGCAAACTTGCTCCTGTTCCTCATCAGCAGGCTTGCCTCAGCCCCCATCTGCTCTTGACGGCGGCTTTTGGCTGCAGAGAGCTTTCACTACTAAATCTGAGCTGTTACCCTCCCTGGAATAAAGTCTTTGTTTCGCTTAGCTTTCATTGTCTGTGCACTTTGTTCTTTGGAGTGGTGAGACAAGAACTGGGAAGAGAAGAAAATCTGCTAAGTTAGTTTTGCTTGAGATATTAAACAGCAAATGAGCAGATGTACAATTCTGCACATTAATAAAGAAACTTTGAAATTAACAGGACTCCACAAGACAAAAGTGTCAAAACATCAAACTTTCTTCTTACACATCTGATGTAAGAAATGAAATAGTTCAAAATTTCAAAACAGTTCTTTATTTAAAACACACACACAAAAATTTACAAGTTAGGCAAAATATAATCAAAGTTAAGTCAGTCCTGCACAATCATTCTGCAGAAGTAACATGTGTAATTTCTTGGGTTACTAGCCACTTCATACTAGTAATTTGAAACACCATTAAGATTTAGTATTGTAATAATTCCATTTTTCACTTTCTAGAGTTTGACAGAAGATACTCAATATCCTGAAGAATTTCAGAAGTTCTTTTCAATGCTACCGATACACTTTCTTCATTAATTGCTTCTATCAAGGTTTCTGAAGATTCTGATTTGTCCTCAGAACACTGCTCGTTCTTCTTGCTAGAAGTCGGGTTGAGGATACCACTGTTTTCCAGTAGCCCTGTATGACAGTTAAGAAACTTTCCCCCACATTTTTCATTACATAATTTGACTTTCAGAAAGCCTGGCTTTGGTATGAAAATAGTATTTTTCATTGCAAGGAATATCTACTGAATTCATGATAGCCTTGGGAAAGAGTAGGAGAATAAGATTATAAACAACGGATATAGTGTATTTTTTTAAATTAACAAAAATCTAGAATAAAAGAAAATTTGACTTCTCTTGCAAAACTAGTTTATTATTTGAGTAAGGTTTTATAACTTTTCTCCCTCCTGGAGGAAGAGAGCTCACGGGACTCAGAAGTAGGCAAATACACACTGCCCATCAAGTACAGGACTATTACAAGGCTCAGGAAGCTCCTAAAAGGTACAAAATTCACACAGTCTCTTGCCAAGGCTGTATAAGTAGTACCAGCTGTTGGGGAGAGGTGACTGACTAGGTGAACTACTTGTAAGTTGTGCAGAGAACTCTTGGGATGCAGTTTTCAGGAGTTGTCAGATTTTCTGGGCTTTTAGGGGATAGATGTCTGTGAGTCACCATCCTTCTGTAAAGACTCTCTCAAACATATTCCTGTAAGCAGTCCTAGTAAACTTATTAGTTCTCTATGCTGGACTTGGACAGAATCACCTGTCTGGTCTGTTGTTGGTCATCTATATGGAGTGAACAAACGTTGGAGCAGATCTCCCCAGGAAAAGTCACACAACAGTAAGATTACAGAAAAATAAAATGAGAAAATAAATTCAGATAAAAGGGTTCATAATAAGTTACAGATATATTTTTAAATGAAGTATTTAAGATTTATTGATTTTATGTGTATGAGTGTTCTGTTTTCAAGCACACCAAAGGAAATCAGATTCCATTATTCATGGTTGTGAGCCACCAAGCAGTTGCTAGGAATTGAACTCAGGACCTCTGGAAGAGCAGCCATTGCTCTTAACTGCTGAGCCATCTCTCTACCCCAAGTTATAGATTTATTTTGACAGCTATAATATAACTATAACTATATAAGAGAAAATGTCTCCAAAAGAGATCTTAATCATAGTTCACCATTCCTTATCCAATTCAAATGTAAAAGCCTAAATGTTAAGGTCACATTCCATGACAAGAATATCTTAGATATCTGCCTTAGCACAACTCAGCAACATGTATGTATAGACTCAGTCATACAGTACAATCACTAAGCCCAGCTGAAACAAATACTTCTGTGTGCTAATACACATCATAAAAGGATACAGTTAAACTTCTGTATCTTCTCAAGCTCAGAAGCAATGGACCTATACGAGATAAAGGATGATGTTGGAACACAAGCTCTTACCATGTATGACAGGAAGAGACAGAGGGCAATACTATGAAACTCTAGTAGAGCCCCTTATGTGAATGTCCTATCTTGTCTTCACCAAGGTAAAATTCTATACAGAAACTATAGCTTGACTACCTCTGAAAAATTAATGAGGACTTTGTCTAAAAAAACAACACTTTCTTCAAGTTACTAAGAAGTCGGATCAAAGAGCTAATGATGGCAAGGTAGAAAAAAATACTGAAAGACAATTTAGAGAGCTATTTATTGTGCAGTCTCTACTCTTCCTTAAAACTATAGTCAAACCACACTCTTTGATAAGAGAGAGGACTAGGGGGTGTCTTGGGAAACAGAGCTATCCCTTACACCTTTCACGTGAACCTCTACTTATTATACGATCCATCTCAAAACCATCACAGCTTAGACCCTAGCAACACTCTGCTCCTGACTCACTGTCCTCTCACTCTCTCCAAGGCCAAAAGACCCTTTTTACACTAAACTTTAGGTGTGTGTGTGTTTTGCTTGTATAGATGTCTGTGCACCTTGTGTGTGCCTGGTATCTGTGGAGGCCAGCAGAGGATGTTAGAGCCTCAGGAACTGGAGTTACAGAGGGCTGTGAGCCACCATGTGTGTGCTGGGAACAGAACCCATGTCCTATGCACAGCCAGGACTCAATAAAACTCGATTGGTGAGTTTTCTCCAGCCCTGAATTATTCTTCCTATCTCTGCTCCAGATTACTCCCTGAGTCTGATGTCCCCAACATTCCTGTGGAACTACAATACTTGCTTTACTTTCTAATCTGCTAGGTAATTTTGGAAGAGATTAGATACAACACAAATTATTTTAAAGTTAATTAAAAAAATCCATGTTACTCAGTATATTTCCTTTAATACTAAAATTTCCACAAAAATTTTAATTTGTCATATACAAAGAGCCACTCATTTTGATAAAAAAATTTTCAATGAAGAGTTTTCTGTACAGCATATGTTGGTAGAATGTTCTTGTGGAATGCATACAATTAACCCTTGTTCATTCAAATGCTGATTTCTCTGCCCCACTCTCTGGTTTCAATCTGGACATTGCATTGTGATGTTTATTCTAAGCATCACCTGTCTCAAGTTTGTGTAAACATGCCACCATTTGTTCTATGTAATTGTCAATGAAACAGCCTGCCAATGCTGTGCGATGGAGGGAATAGGGTAGGACAACCTGGTCTGGAGGGGAGGAGAAGGAAGTGAGTGGGAAGGCCAAGGAGCGAGATCTGGAGGAGGAGACTTCAAAACAGGAGGAAAGATGAACTGGACCTAAGATATGACTAAAAGCAAGTATAATGGGTGAAATCTGAATGGGAGGAAACTATGCAGGCTTGGAGGTTTAAGATGGAGTAACTATTGCCCAGCATTGTGCTCTAGGTTAATTAAAATAATCCTAGTTTCTCTGTGGTGATTTGGGTATACATCAGGTTTAGGAATAACTGTTGTTTAACTAAAAGATAAATCAATGATAAATTCAATAACAAGCATAAAAAAAAGGATATTTTTAAGAGCAAGTTTTTTCAAGCTTATACTATGAAAAAACATTTTAGGATTTGATTTATGTTTATAACCAAAAGTTTTTTTGGGCAAAAAAGCTTCAGTGTTTTTTATCTGCTACTTAAATTTTTTACATTTATTTATTCATGGTGTGTGTGTCTGTGTGAGTGTGTGAATGTATGTGTGTGTGTTGTATAGTCAGAGGACAACTTTGGCTTTACATGGGGCTCTGAGGACTGAACTTAGGTCATCATGTTAAGTAGTAAACCTTTACTGAGCATCTTGCCAGCCCTTGTATCTTAGTCACTGTTCTTTGGCTGTGAAGAGACACCGTGACCACGGCAAATCTTATGAAACAAAGCATCTAATTGGCCTTGCTTACAGTTTCAGAGGCTTAGTACATTGTCATCGGGGCAGGGCACATGGCGGCACACATGGCACTGGAGTAGTAGCTGAGAGCCACATCCTGATGCATTGACACACAGAGAGAAGCTGGGCCTGTAGAGCTTCTGATGTCTCAAAGCCTTCCCGCGTGGTGACACACACCTCCTGATCCCTTCAAATCCTGCCACCCCTGGTAACTAAGCATTCAAATATATGAGCTTATGGGAACATTCTTATTCACACCACCACACCTTAATACTAATTGTTAAGTATTGGCTCTTTATCACAGATTAAGTTTGTAAGAAACATAAATACCAGTTTTCTTGGAGAACAGGTGGCAGAAGTGTGGCCACCTGTTTTGGACTAGTCTGGCTCAGTCTTCTGCACCAGGATATTACTGATGTCACATATCTGGAAAGAACACATTAAAAATATTTGATAGGGAAACCCATTAATCTGTATAATTAATATGTACAATAATAAAAATGAATTAAAGTGAAAGAAAAATACTTGAGTTCTAACTTACTATGTAGCCAAAATTGACCTTGAACTTCTGATCCTTATGAAGAATTAGAATTATAGGGTATGCCACCACACCAAGTTTTTTATTGATCCTCCTGCATTGATCCCCCATTGTATGCAGGGAACGGGACCCAAGTCCTTGCCTATGCTGAGGAAATGCTCTACTTCCAGCCTAAACTTGTATATACTTTCAATAAATACATAAGAAGTGAAAAAAAAAAAAATCAGTGAGACAAGTTTGAAAAAAAAAAAAAAATAAAGAAAAATTTTAAGGAAGATAATAATAGCATTCACTAGACACAGATGACACAGTTTTCTTACACTATTCATAAAAGTAAAATAATTTGGGGGCTGGAGAGATGGCTCAGAGGTTAAGAGCATTGGCTGCTCTTCCAGAGGTCCTGAGTTCAATTCCTAGCACCCACATGGTGGCTCACAGCTATCTATAGTGAGATCTGGTCCCCTCTTCTAGTGTGCGGGCTCACACGCAGGCAGAACACTGTATACATAATAAATAAATAAATCTAAAAAAAAAAGTAAAATAATTTTACTTATATTCGTATCATAAAGAAGATTTCTAAATCAAAACACAAACGAATACTTGCGCTTCATTTAAAGCTCACATCTAAATGCCTTAACCTTTTCTTTTCAGGTTTTCAAAATAAATTGAAAATCTTACAGTTTGTTATGGAAATATCCTTACAAAGTCTATGTAAGCATTTGTCTATTAAAATGCAAACATTGGGGGTGCGACTGGAGAGATGACATAGAGGTTAAGAGCACTGTCTGTTCTTCCAGAGGTCCTGAGTTCAATTCCCAGAAGCCACATGGTGGCTCACAACCATCTAGAGTGAGATCTGGTTCCTTCTTCTGGCATGGTGGAGTACATGCAGACAGAACATTTTATACATAAAAATAAATAAATTTTAAAAATAAAATAAAATAAAATAAAATGTAAACCTGGAAATGCCCACTAGAGCATACACATGTACATCCAAATACACTTATTCACATGCATATGGTGAAATGTACTTAATGAGTATAAAAAGCAATAAAATGAATGCTCTGAAGTGACAGGACAGAACCATCATTAGAACCTTTGCTAGAGGTACTATTTTTTTGAGAGAAATTGTTTAAATAGCAATTAAATGTTGGAACACTTAGACCAAAAGAAGACCAGTCAACAGAAAAAAAAATTCAAGATGCTAAGGAAGCAGTTCTATGTGACAGGTAAAACTGTTCTCACGTCAGGCCCACTCGGGACTGCAGCTAACAGTGAACCCTTTAACAGAGAACTTGTATTCCTAGGAACTGAGGTCAAGCACTGTCCCATTTAAGAATAGCCAGTAGCTAGTCTGTGTTTGTTTGTATTTCAAGACACGGTTTCTCTGTGTAGCCTTGGCTGTCGTGGACTCACTTTGTAGACTAGGCTGGCCTTGAACTCATAGAGAGCCACCTGCCTCTGCCTCCCCAAGCACTGGGATAAAGGCAAGCACCACCATGCCTGGCTCCCTTAGCAAGTTTTTATCCATCACAAAAAACACAATTTTAGTCACTTGCGGTCATTTGTAAACTACCTTTTTTTTTCAATCTCATTGAGAAACCAGAATAATAGGCTGACACAACTGATCACATTCTATGTTCTACAGCAAGTCAGACATGTTGGGGACATATTATTTTTAAAAAATCATTTGTATGCAAACAAATGTTTAAAGCTGACTTGATTTATTTCTTTAGGTTAAATTTCAGGATAACTGAAAAATCTGGAAATTTAAAAATAAACACAATATTGAGGTTATATTTACGCTTTACCTGTGAAACATGAAAATTGCTCTTTCGTACCTTTCATATGCTCCAGGGTGCTTGGCTTGAATTAACTGCTCTTGTCCATCAGGAAAAGTTAATCTGCACCAACCTAAGCTGAGACCTTGATCTACCTTAAGAAGCAAAAAGAGGCAAATTTCATCACTCTAAAACTAAAAACTAAAACAATAGCAACCTCTTAAAAAATAAAGGAGTACATGAATCATTAAAATTTTATTTTGAGGGCTGGATATATGGCTCAGAGGATAAGAACACTGGCTGTTCCTCCAAAGGTCCTGAGTTCAAGTCCCAGCAGCCACATGGTGGCTCATAACCATCTGTAATAAGATCTGGTGGCTATTTCTGGCGTGTAGGCACAAATGGAGGCAGAGTACTGTATAAATAATAAATAAACAAATCTTTAAAAATTATTTTGAGCATTTAAAGACTTTTATATGGGTTATTTTATACCGGTTGTGGTATATATAAGCAATCATCTACACAGATAATTATTAGAGAATAAAAATGCCAGTCCCTTCTTGCTGTAATGTGCATATATATGTATATGAGTATTCGTTATACTTTTCTGATTTTTGCTAGGAAATTCACGGAGGTTAGTAAAGCCTCTTGACAAGATTTTATATTTAAAATATTTGGTCTCTAACACCCAAATAATGGCCACAATTGCCTATGACTCCAAGTCTAGGGCCCTGGATACCCTCTTTTGAACCCAAGAGCTCCTACACACACATGGCGCATATAAACTTACACAGATTCACACGTATGCATAAAAAACTCCAAACCATGATAATTTGAGATAATGCAGTACTGTTTTCTGTAGATAAGTATCTGATCAGGATATAAGACTATAAATAATAGGCTACAATTCAGGATAATGTTTTATATATTAAAAAAAAATCTAGAAGTTAGGATCTTGAATGTCTTTATAGCAAAGCAATGATAAATGTTTGAGGAGATAATGCTTTTCCTGATATAATATTTAATACAAACAACTATCTAAGATCAGAATGGGATCTCATGACAATTACAAATGCTGTAACAAATTTTACTGAGCATAACAGATGGATTTCAGCCTTAGGCAGGGGTTCTGCATTTGTGGGTTGGGATCCCACAGGGTATATATCAAATATCTTATGAATCAAACATTTATATAGCGATTCCTCAAAGTTATGAAATACGACGATAATTTTACGGCTGGCCACCACAGTATGAGGAACAGTAGGAAGGGTTGCAGCATCAGGGAGGCTGAGAACCGTTAGTCTAGGTTTACTCACTCGTCTTTTTTCGGCAGAGGAGCTGAAATCCCAATTCAGCGTTAGAGTGATGCCATCTAAAAAGACAGCATGAACTTTGTCATCAGAGTAGGCAAGAAACCTGCCCACATTGGGGATGAGTGATTCTTTCAGAAGCTTGGGCAGAATATTGCTAACATTTACTCCAGGTACCTAAAACCAAGTAAATAAAGACAGCACAGGACAGAGTTTTCCATGGAAGATTTAAATAAGTATTAATGAACTCTGAAGCAATTCAAGTCTTATTTAGAAGTTGAGGACTGCAAAACACTTATCCATATTTTACCTTTTCAAGAGTTGCACATCCAGAACTGTTTACCTAATAAGATGATTAAATTCTAATATCTCTGGAAGCTACAATCCTGCTGTGAACTTTACATAGTCAAAAATTATGAATTATACCAGCATATAAGTCTATAACCAAATGACTATGGATTCAGAAACAAATGTCTGAGACTCATTGCCTCTAGGCCAGGATTAATGAATTTACTTTTATATTTTAAAAAATATAAAATATGATACTATCATGGTTTATATTGGCAATGCTTTTACATTTTATGTAACTTGACACACAAATTCAATCAATTCCTATCTCTTCCTCTTCATTAAAAAAATTATCAGCTGGGCATGGTGGCACACATCTGTAATCCCAGCACTTGGCAGACTGAGGCAGGAGGATCTCAAATTTGAAGCCAGCCAAAGCTACATAGCAAGATTCTGCATCAAAAAGCCAAAAGGTGGTGTTGGAAAGCTGGTACAGCTTTGTTACAAATAATAGTGTGTGATTGACATGCTCAGGTTTAAATCCCAACATGGTAGGGGTGAGAGCTTATTTATAATAAAGAAAGTATCTACAGCACTAAAAGTAAAACACAGGGAGGAGGGTTATGCCTAAGTGATAGAAAGTTATCTGCTTAGTATGTGCAATGCCTTGGACTTAAAAAAAAAAAAAAAAAAAGGATACAATAGAAGCCCAATTTTCCAATCTGTCTATAAGGTAGGTATTCTTTCTCTTTCTTTGCCTTCCTTCCTTCCTTCCTTCCTTCCTTCCTTCCTTCCTTCCTTCCTTCCTTCCTTCCTTCCCATCCTTCTTCCTTTCTAAGTTCTCTGAGACAGGGTTTATTCTGACTAGTGTTATGTCACTTGACACACAATAGAATGATCAGAGAGGAGGGAGCCTCAACTGAGAAAATGTCTTCATAAGATTGGCTTTTTCTTAATTAGTGATTGGCGTGTGTGTGTGTGTGTGTGTGTGTGTGTGTGTGTGTGTGTGTATGTGTGTTGCAGGGGAGGTGGTCATTCCTGGGAAGGTGGTCCTGGGTTCTATGAGAAAGGAGGCTTGTCAAGTCATGGACATGAATCAGTAAGCAGCACTCCTCCGTGGCCTCTGCATCAGCTCCTGCCTCCAGGCTCCTGCATGGTTTGAGTTCCTGCTCTTACTATTTTTTGATGATGAACTGTTATATGGAACTGTGAGTGAAATAAACCCTTTCCTCCCCAAGTTCTTTTTGGTCATGGTGTTTAATAGCAGCAATAAGAACCCTAACTAAGTCAGGGTTTCTCTATGTAGCCCTGGCCGTCCTGGAACTTACTCTGTAGACCAGGCTGGCCTCAAACTCGGACGTCTGCCTGCCTCTGCCTCCCAAGTGCAGGGACTTAAGGTGTGCACCACCAAGTCCAGCTGAGGGAGGTTTTTTCCTTGAATAAACAAAGTTGAATGTTAGAAAGAATTTCTCACATGACTTACATGAAAGCAGCTTGAATGTGCAAGTATGAATCCAAACAAGAAAACAACTAACAATTTTGTTCCTTTGTAACATACCATTTTCCAGCAGCATATCCGATAGTTGTGGCTTAGTGAAAGCCTTGTCTTGGCACAATGTTGAAGAATTCTGTGAACATGAAAAACATTTCCTAAATGTTTGTAAATAAGATATTTTACAGTATTTTCAAATACCTGCTTCTATAGCTCAATGTTTTAGCAATATCCTGAATGCCATGTAGTTTAAGTGACTCTGGCAACTCACTCTCCCAGAAAGTGTTAAGTTCCTAGATGGGGCTACCATCAGTTCCTTTTGCCCTAACCCTAACCTTAGCTAGTTAAGGCTTTCTGGTAAAAGCAAAAGATTTATACAATCTGAAGAGTATCCTTGGCCTTTTGATAATGAAGGAACTCCATAGATAATTTTCAGGTGCACTTTTAAAACTACGTAACTTAGTTATTTGTGTGTTCCTATGCACTCATGTAGTGAGAGTTTTGGTTTCTTCAAAAACCCAGTGACGATATGTGAGTATGTTTTCATTTTAATCCCACCGTAGTAAAGTGGCTGCTTCAGACTGTCTTGGGCATGCTCTGGCAGGGGCGGGATTCTTGCCAGCTGAAGACAGTTTAATTCTGGGGACTCTAGAGAGGGTATAAAAAGACCAGAGCCACAAGAAAAGGGCACAGCTGTTCCTCCTACTGGTTTCTGCTGCTGCTGCTACTGGTGGTGGTGGTGGTGGTGGTGGTTTGTCACGCGGTTGAGAGGAGAGACAAGAAGCTCAAGATAGTCAATGGCCCTAATCAGCAGAA